AACCTAATTCTATCATTTTAACAAAATACAGCTTTTGCTTGTGACTTTAAAAGCCATTTCTGATTGCTAAAATATAAAAATGCATCGACCAAACAAGGTTATGAACACCGACTTCACGGTAATAGAAATCCCAGACCCTTATTGTCCCTCTCGGAACCAAAGATATATTATACCCAACAAAACTATAGAAACAAACGCCTGACAAACTAAAACTCCAAAAAAGTGAAAGTTTGGCGGTGCGGTGATTGAGATTGAACAGAAGTCAAGTAAATAAGGTAAAAGAAAAGATTAATTGAAGAAAATAATATGGAAGAGGAAAAATGGGATGAGGAATTGAGGATTACTTTGCAAATGGGGCAGATGACTTTGAGACCAACAGCACGGGCCTCGAGCTGAGACCCTTTGGCCTTCTGATTCTTCTCAGCGTTCTTCTTTTGTGCTTCGATCTTCTGCTTTCCCCTAGTCATCTTCCTTCACTTGGATGTGTTCCCCTGGGTTGAATAGATTGAGGCTCTAAACCCTTTGCCAGGAGCAATTCTTTTAACAAGCTTCTTGTCGTATTAAATTCTCTTTTTCTTTTTCTTTTAAGATTTTCCTTTTTCGATTTCCCTTTTCTCAAAAAGGAAAAATAGTTTCTTCCCACAAAAATAGTCCATATTAAATTTTAAATTTTGTACTAACACAGAGGGAATAGTAACTATAATACAACTACTACACTTTAAACAATAGTTATTGTACACGTGAAATACGACTACTTCATCGGGGTTCTGACCGAAGTATTTTGATTTATTTCAGGTTTTCTATTTTTCCTTAAAACAACACAACAAATGAAATTTCAGAGACAAAAATATTTTTATAATAAGGACTAGATGGGAGTACTACTATTTTGTGGATGACCTTGCTGATATTTTTGTTTTTTTAATCATTACTTCTTTATTTTTCCTTAAAACAACACAACAAATGAAATTTCAGAGACAAAAATATTTTTATAATAAGGACTAGATGGGAGTACTACTATTTTGTGGATGACCTTGCTGATATTTTTTGTTTTTTTAATCATTACTTCTTTTTCTATGTATTTTAAATTACTATCGTATATTTTAATCTAAAAACAATTAAAAAGTTAGTTATAGTAAAAAAAAATTAAATTAACACTTCATGAATCAATAAACTCTACTATAAATAATAAATTTTTCTGGTTTCATGTCGTGACCAATACAAATATCAACAAAATCGAGAAAAAAAAATAACATAATAATTTAAAGAATTTTTCGATATTTTTTTTTAGGTAAAAGGTAAATTTGTATTACTCAGTACCAAAAAACCATCCATATGTACACATATACAAAGGAAACCAGACACTACTATACTGACAAAACTCGCACCTACAACCTCTATTACAAAATTGCCAAATCCTGTAGTACATCTCTTTCCCTTGCCTTTTTCACTTTCCCATAGCATCGAATTTGCCATTTCACCTGCTGCTTAATTTCTTCACATATCTGAACTTCATTTGGATGATTCTGCTCATGAATTTGCAAGTTCCTGGCCCTCCATATCATGTAATCTCCTGCCAGAATCACAGAAAACAAAATCCTTTGTTCATTCGATTACCTTTCCATATATAAGGAAGTCGTTTCCAATTCTTCACTTGGATCCATCTTTCTGAGAAGTTCAGCCACCCTCTCAGTAACTGCCAGACCTTTGTTGCTAGGATACATTGTGTAAACAGATGATCCACAGTCCATGCACTAGAGTTACACAACGGGCAAATGTTATCAATGTTTACCATCCCAAGCTGTTGCATTCTATCCCTTATTAATACTCTTCCCTTCCAGCACAACCAGGCTATGAAGCAATGCCTGGAGGTATTTAACCTATTCCAAATGACTTGAGCTTCCTTATAATTGGATTTTTTCCCAGCCAACCACCGATAACAAGAAGTGATGGTGTATTTGCCGTTTTTCTGCCCTTTTTACTGACTCTGCTGGAATCCCATTTTAAGTTTTTCTCGAATCATTAAAAGCTTCTTCCAGTGCCAACTGGATTCAATCTCAACAACTACCTCCCATATTCCTTTTCTCCTTAAGTAAACATCATGAATCCACTGTAGCCACAAGTTGATCTTTCCCTGTGCTATCTCCCATAGTTGCTTTCCCATAGCAGAAACATTCCACAAACTAATATCTCTGATGCCAATTCCCCCTTCCTTTTTAGATAAACAGAGCTGCTTCCAAGAAACCAAGGGAGAGGCTCTTCCTGCTGCATTCATCCCCCGTAAGAATTCTCTGCACAGTCGTTCCACCTGCACTATCACACTTTTTGGCAACAGGTATACTGTTGCCCAGTATGAGTGCATGTGTAACAACATCAAATTGATCAGTTGTACTCTCCTTGCGTACAAAAGGTTCCTGGAGGACCAGCTTCTAATTCGGACAGTGGTTTTATCAACTAGGGGTAGACAATCAACCTGCGACCACATAGTTGGTGACAATGGGAAACTCTGGTATTTCATCGGTAAATCTCCTTTTGTAAATCCAGCTATTTGCTCTATTCTTTCTCTCTGTTCATCCGACATTCCAGCTACATAAATTTGGAGCTTCTTCCAGTTGGTGTACAGTCCCGTAGTTTGCCCAAACACCCTCAATTTCTCCATTACCTTCCTAACACTATTTTCCTCCGCCTTACAGACTATTATCAGATCGTCTGCAAAACAGAGATTAACAATCTCCAAGTCTTCGCACTGTGGATGAAATTGAATCGTACCTCTACTAATTTCCTCCTTTGATAGTCTAGTGAGGTATTCCATTACTATTACAAATAATAGCAGAGATATAGGATCCCCCTTCTTTAAACCCCTTTTGCCTCTAAACAATCCCACTAAATTCCCATTTAAGTTTAAAGAAAAGGAGCATGTAGTGACACACTGCAGGACCCATTCTGTAAATCTACTAGGAAAACCAAACCCAACCAGAGCATCATACAAAAATTTCCGGTTTACAATATCATACACTTTCCTGAGATCTACTTTAAGCAAGCATCTAGGAGTTACAGCTTTTCTACGATACAGTCTTACTAGCTCCTAAGTAAGAAGTACATATGCACAAAAGATCTCCCTTTTAACAAATGCACCTTGGTTTAAATTTATCAAATCAGGTAAAACTTTACTCAGGCAATCACTAAGGATTTTAGTCATACATTGATAGAGAATATTGCATCAAGAAATAGGCCTAAATTCACTAGCATCTTTCGGCGTTAAACACTATGGGATGAGTGAAATTAGGGTGCTATTTACCTGAGTGAGGATGCGTTTTTCGGCGCCAAATTCTTGAACTTTTTCAATGACCTCCTCTCCCACTGTCTCCCAGCAAGCTCGAAAAAAGCCACTCCCAAAACCATCTGGGCCAGGGCTTTTGCTAGGATGGATCCCAAACATGGCATATTTGATCTCCTTCCTAGTAAAGTCCTTACACAAGATGATTTGGTCCCGCAGTGTCACCTTTGCTCCCTGCTGGAATACATCCTCCCTGGTTCCGATTCTCTTCTCTTCCAACCCTAGTAATTGCTCAAAGTATTGTATAAAGTGTTGTTCAACTGCCTTCCAGTCCTCCACCAGCTCTCCTTGCTTTGTCTGAAATGATAGGATTCTGTTCCGAGCTTTTTCTCTCCTTAATTGTAGCATGGAAGTAACTGGTGTTTTCGTCCCCTAACTGAAACTGTTCTTGTTCTTGCAAGGTCACTTCCTTCGGATTCATCTGCAATTCAGCCTGAACTCTTTCCAGTTGCATCTGAACATTTAAATACTTCCCTTCAATGTCACTGTACTTCCTCCTATTAAGTTCTCTAAGATCAGGCTTTAACAGTTTGAGTTTGGAAACTAACTGAAACTATTTAGTGCCTATAACTTTTGTATTCCAAGCACAATACTCTGGAAGCTTTGATCTTGTGCGGTTGTGCCCACATGTTGTAGTATTTGAATGGCCTCCTCCCTATGACATTCTTAGAGTTCCATATGATTACCAACGGACAATGATCAGAGATACCCTCTTGTAGTACTTTTACATATGCCTCATTGTGTTATATCATCCATTCATCCGATCCAAACATCCTGTCTAGTTTACAGCAAATCCTTTTCTCCCCCACTTGCTTGTTGTTCCATGTGAAGAAACTCCCTTGTGACCTGAGCTCTTGAATATGACACGCATCTATCACACTTCGAAATTCCTCCAACTCCATAGTCCTGAATGGAACTCCCCCTAGTTTTTCATCCTCCTGCATGATGCAGTTAAAATCCTCTCCCAGGATCCATGGTTTATTGGCAACTGTTAACTGCAATAAGTCCATCCATAAATTGGATCTCTCACTCTGACTATTTTTTGCATACACCACAGTCATATAAAACTCCCTATTCTCCTCCTTAGCTTGGACCTGGCAGTAAATGAATTGTTCATTCAACACCAAAACATCCACCTCATATTCCCCTCTCTTCCACATTACAATGATCCTGCCTTTTTGATTCAACATTGCGTTATCCTTGTACTCATAATCTTTCCACCATCTACTCATCACCTCCATACCCTTTTCTTTCGTTAATTTTGTTTCCAGTATTCCTGCAATACCTAATCCTTGTGTCCTAACTACATTGCCCACCTCCTGAAGCTTCAGAGGATGGTTAAATCCTCTAACATTCCAAACCAGGATGTTATCCATCATACTGCAGGACCTGAATCGTCAGGATCCCTTGCTCCACCACACTCTATACCCCTCTGTATTCTCACATCTGGATTTCTCTTTAGCATAAGGTTCCCATACTTTCCATGCCCTGATTCTTGGAGCTCTCAACCCGTGCTTCTCCTTCTGTTATTTGTTCTCCCCCCTAAGCACCCTTGTTCTTTGCCATATTCACTATCCCTGCAACTGGATTGTCTAACTGTTTCACCATCTCACTGTCTCCTCCCTCTTTACTTTGGCTCTTCTTTGCTACTTGCTTACTCTGGTTATCACTTTCTTGTATAAGCTCTGGTGACCGCTCTATATTCCTCGGCTTCCAAACTGGTTTCTGGGGAACTTTGCAATCCTTCTGCATATGTCCATAGCCTTGGCATAGAGTATACAGGCTGCCATTCATATACCAATTTTTGCTCCTGCAGTCTACCTTCTTCATCAACAAAAGCTATCTTGTCCGGAAGGTGCTCTTTAATCTCCATCTCCACCAAGACTCTCGCAAATCCAGCCCTTAGTTTATTCCGGGTCATATCATTCATCCTCTTTGGTTTACCAATTACACTCATCAGCTTACTGAGAGTGCTAGGGCTCCAATACTTCAATTCCAAGTCCGGTAGTTGAATCCAGACAGGAACCTGAAAATATCTTCACATTTGAACCCTTGTTTCACATTCCACTCCTTCACTATCAATGGTTTGCTATAGTACTGCTGAACAGTGTGCAGAGCCACTTGTTTAGAATGCTCATTCTTCATTTGAACAATAAAGTACCCTTCCTCCCTTTTTAGCATCTTAACTATCCCCAGCTTCCCCCAAATATGATACAAAAATTTTGACATAATTTGGTAAGGTAGATTAACACCCAATACATAGCATACAATAGAGTTCATCCAGTATTCAATTTCAGGTTCAACATAATCTACTGTGATTCTTGCTACGACTTGGTGTTCAACAGAATTAGGTGCAACATACATAAGTTCAGGACCCATCAATTTCACCTTTTCTAAATCAAAAGCAACTCAGCCTTCATCCACCCCCTTCACTGCCTCATCACCCCCCTTCTTTTTACCACTATCAACAGGTCTATTCCGATTCAACTCAGGTTGTTTAATACAACTTACTTGCTTTACTCCACTGCTAAATGCCTGTGTAGAATCCAGAGAAGCCCTGTTGTCCGCCACCATCGCGACACCCTCCTGCATCGTCGTCCCAATTGTGGCTTCACAGATCTGAGTCACATCTGCCTTTGCTGCCACCGCTACCACTTTGATCTGTTTATCTCCCTCATTTTTGCTTGATTTAACGGTTTCCTTCGCCACAAGAGCACCTCTACCTCTACCTCTAGCCATTGCCGGCGTCGATTAGGTTGATATTGTAGTTTGCATTTATTCTTATGTTTTTTATATATGCGTTACTTTAAATTAAAATAATTTATAACAAAACTAGCACAACCTATAGCCGCGTTTTCGCGGACCTCAATTGTGCCTGCATTACCATATTAACGGTAAACTTCTCTAGTAATTAAGTTAAAGGGAAAATAGGTTTTTTCATTTCAAGATTTGGGCCGCACTATTCAATACATTCCAAAGTTTTAAAGCATGTTATTTACATCCCAAACTTTTTAAAAACATGTTATATTAAGATATCCGTCAAATCTTTAAGTTAATTAATTAAAAGTGGTACTTTATCCTATTTCCAATCCCCCCATTCTTTTAAATCATTTAACGGGTTCCACTAATTCCTAACTTATAAGAAAATCGCCAAACCTAATTTGGTTTGCCACATCTCGCATTCTTCCTTGCTTAGAAAATAAAAAAAGAAATTCCAAGATTCACCATTTGAGTTGACTATGATCATGAGAGGTTTTGGGACGTTTGGTAAGTAAGTTCTATTTCAAATTTTTTATTTTTAACATGTAGCATCAATATTAAAATTGGTGTTCTAATTTGATGCAGAGTCATGCAACTTCTTTGCTTGGCATGAACCAAATTTACCAAGCGCTAGCATGGAATTTTTTTTACTAAAAGAAATTAGGAAAAAAGAGACTGAATGAAATATCACAGCCAATTAATTAAAAGAATTTAACAATTATTCTAATATTATATTTTTTTGAAAAGTTTGGGATGAAAATGGTATGTTCTTAAACTTCTGGATATTTTGGATGGTGTAGCTCAAACCTTGGGATAAAGAGTCTCATTCTCCCTAAATTAAATAATCCATCAAATCCATATCTATAGTTTATTATAAAAGAGAAACCAGAGTGGAATTGAGTTTCATTTCTAATGTGACATATAAGTTAAAACTCTACATGACATTTTATTAAATTTTTCTCAAAAAATAAGTTCGTAAAATTGTGAATAAGTCCTTTAAATTCATTTAATAAATTAAACAAGTCCTTTTATTTTATCATCTTGAAGTTGTTCGAATAAATTTTTTCGACAAACCAAGTGGATGAAACTGAGATGTATGTAATTTGTTTTTAAATTTCTTAATTTTTTTTTCTTTTTTGATTACCTTAGAATTTTTCTTCCCAAATATATATCATTAAACATCTGTGTTGTTAATTATATGACTTAGTATCATTTATTTTTATTCACATAATATAAATAATTATTGTATTGTTAAGTTTTTTCCTGTGTAAATGTGCAATCTATAGAATTTTTTCATTTCATATTTTCTGCAGTATTTACTTACTTAATAAATATTATCTCTTCACCCTCTTTATTTACTTTCATAATTACTAATAGTAATAAACCTTTTCTCTCTCTACTTCATGTTTCTCTTACCATGGGAAAAAATGTGAAGAGAGTGTAGAAGAAAATCTTGGTTGTAGAGAATAAGGAGAAGATAGATGAAAGGGAGGAGGAAAGCGTGATATAGAAGGAGAAACAAGCATTATCGAAAGCAGATCTGGCAGTAGTGGCGAAAGAGCAGAGCCCTAAAATTGGGAATGACAAATTGATGAAGGAAACTGAATCTGGTCGTTGGGCTTCTTGGGCAAATGAAATTGAGAAGTCGCAAGGGGGAATCCGTGGAAGAAGTTTGATGTGGGCAAGATAAGGCATAGCGGCTCGAATCTGGAGTTTATTCCGCCGACTGAGGTTAATGGAAAGAAGGTTTGCCATGTACAAGCAAGGAAGGTTGAAATTAAAGCCCAGTATTGGGAGCCGTCGGTGGTCTGTTTCATTGTGGGGTCTAATGTTCCATATGCTATGATGAACAAGCAATGCCGGAATCTATGGGGGCATCTAGGTATGGATAAGGTAATTCTTCTGCCCTCTGGCTTGTTTGTGGTTAGATTTACGTCTTTATATGCTACAGATGTAGTACTGAAATCAAATGTATATCATAAGGGAAGTAAGCCATCGGTAGTAAAGCCCTGGTCAGTTGAAAATGGGATAAATTTTAGGGAGGTACTGAGGGTTCCTGTATTGATTCAGTTAAGGGGTTTGGAGTTGAAGTACTGGAATAGTGATACTCTAAGTAGAATGGCAAGTATTTTTCGGTTGCCAATCAAGATGGATGAGGCAACTGCTAGCAGAGAAAGAATAGAATATGCCAGGTCGTTGGTTGAAATGGAAATACAAAATGAGGTTCCTAAATGGATTAGTTTTGCAGAAGAGAATGGGCAAATTCAGGAGCAGAGGGTCTCTTATGAGTGGAAACCCATACAGTGTAAATGCTGTAAGGGCTACGGGCATTCGACTGAGTCATGCAGAAATGATCCTAAGAATGTGAGACAAGTTGAAAGTGGACAGAATCCCAGAGCACCAACAATAGCTGAGGCAAGACCTGAAAGGCAGGAGAAGAGTGTTAAGAACCAGGGAGGAAAAGGAGGACAACTTCAAAAGATGAGAACAGGAGGAGAGAAGGTCTACCGTCCTATGGTAATTGGGAAAATGAATGAAGTGATGGCTAGGAAACAACAGATCTGGAATAGTTTCTTTTCACAAGGGAGCACGTCTGCAAGTAAACAGGAGGAGGAAGCAAAGAGAATGGAGGGAACAATACATACTCTTTACCATGATCCAGGGATCAATGAGTAATATTTTAGTATGGAATATAAGGGGCCTCAATGGTCCTTTAAAGCATAAGGAAGTTGCAAGCCTCCTGTCTGCAAATAATAGGTTTGGCATGCATTATGGAATCGAAAATAGCAAGGAAAAAGGATATATATATATACTTGTTATGATAGTAGAGATAAGGGATGAATTAGCTTGTTATGGGATGATTCTTTTCATGTGCAGGTTTGCAGTTATAATAACCAGATGGTACATTGTTTGGTTACCTCAGCATGTATGGATTTTCAGTTTTATTTTACGGGGATATATGCTTCTAACAACTGCACTGAAAGGGGGGAACTATGGGATAAACTTATGGGAATAAAGGATAGTATACAGCTGCCCTGGATGGTGTCTGGTGATTTTAATAATGTGTGTAGATCAGTGTGCTTTACAGGACATAAGGCAAATAGGGGCTGGGTTTACGTGGTGTAACAAGCAGATTGGCATTGAAAGGATCATAGCCAAATTGGATCGAGTATTGATAAATGGATACTGGGTGGATAAGAAAAATAAATCAATAACACTGATTATGGAAGAAGGGATATCAAATCATACGCCAATATTAGTTAAAATAGAAGGGGAGATGGTAAATAAACCGAAACCTTTCAAGCACTTCAATATGTGGAAGCTTGACCCTAGGTTTCGAGATGTAGTTCAGAAGAGTTGGACTGAACCTGTACAAGGGAGCAGAATGTACCAATCGGCGCAAAAATTGAAAAGGCTTAAACAGACATTGAAGTTTTTGAATAAGGGTAAGTTAGCAGATATTCAGGTCAGAACACAGCAAACTCAGGACAAACTAAGGCAAGTACAGCAAAGCCTGGTTTCTCAGCCTGAGAATCAACAATTGCAGAAGGAGGAAAGGCAGATTTATAAGGAATGGCTTGTGAAAAGTAAAGCAATGGAGCTGTTTTTACAGCAAAAGGCTAAGGGAGATTGGATTAAGGGGATTCAAATTCTGCATCTTTTCATGCAAAAATGAAGCAGAAAGTAATGAGGAACATGATTGGAGTTAGGCAATGGGGAGGTAGTAACAGACAGGGACAGAATCGAAGAGCATTTTGTGAAGTTTTTCCTAAATCTGCTCGGACAATCTGCAAACAGAGTACCAGCTACTGAATCAGTATTTGAAAAAGGAGCAAAACTGAGTATTGAAGCCCAACTACAATTGATCCAACCAATTAGACGGGAAGAAGTAAGAAAAGCTTATGGGGAATACACTCTAACAAGAGTCCGGGACCTAATGGTTTCGGTAGTGACTTCTTCAAAGAAGCATGGCGTATTGTTGTTGAGGATTTTACTGCAGCTGTGATTGAATTCTTCGAATCAGGTCAGATCCTTAAACAACTGAACTCCACTGTTATTACATTGATACCTAAAATAGAGAATCTAATAGATGCTAGTCAATGCAGGCCTATTTCTTGTTGCAATGTTATTTACAAGTGTATTACAAAGATTCTTAGTGCTAGGCTAAGTGATGTATTACCTATACTTGTTGCAGGAAACTAGAGTGCCTTTGTTAAGGATAGAATGATTATGCATAATATTCTGATTATGCAGGAACTTATTAGACTCTATGGTAGACAGAATATGAGTGGGAGATGTTTAATGAAAATTGATTTGGGAAAAAACGTATGACTCGGTAGGATGGGGGTGTGTAGAAGAATGTTTAATAGGATTTGGTTTCATGTTAAGTTCATACGTTGGATAATGGCCTGTATTACTACATCTTCGTATTCTTTATGCTTAAATGGTATCAATGTGGTGTACTTCCAAGGCAGAAGGGAATTGAGGAAGGGAGACCCGATCTCACCTTTAATTTTTGTTTTGGTAGTGGAATATTTTACAAGACAGTTTAGGGGGGCAGCAGAGAATCCAAAATTTAGGTTTCACCCGAAGTGCAAAGAGTTGAAGCTTACAAACGTATGTTTTGCTGACAATCTAATGGTGTTTTTGTAAATCGGACATGTATACTATTGAAGTAATCGTGCAAAAGTTTAGGGAGTTTTCGGCAACTTCTGGACTGCAAGCTAATATAGGTAAATATGATATTTACTATGGGGGAGTGCCTGAATGGTTAAAAATGAAAATTGATGAAATAACAGGGTTTAGAGAAAGGGTGTTTCCTATGAGGTATTTAGGTCTGCCTTTATCACCTAGGAAATAGAATATCCAGGATTGTCAGTACTTGGTAGACAGAATTGTTGCAAGGTTGAAATGCTGGAGCACTCAAAATCTTTTGTATGCTGCTAGGTTGCAACTGATAAATTCAGTTCTATCACATT